GTAACAGCAAATGATGAGGTGCAGAGCGTTTCTAGAGCAGTGGGACCCCAGGGACTGACATTTCAGGATGGGGCCAGGCTTGGAGGTTCTGGTGGTGAGGAGACAGGGACCTCCTGGCGCCCTGCCCTATGCAGGTAGATACTCAGGTGATCCAGTCCCGGAACTCCAGCCACCTGCTCAGCTGCAGATACTGTTGGTTGAATCGTGGCACTCCCGAATGTCCTTTGAGGCTATTCGCTAGTCCTTGTATCCTCCTGCCCCTAGTTACTCACTCCTACTTATATTAAACAGTTTGGCACCAGATTCTTAGATCCTCAACACCTGACCAGGGTCTGCTGTCCTGCAGTGGTTCGGCGCTCCAATGGGTCACCACCTGCGCCTGGGCACCCGGGGAGACGCATCCTGCAGTGCCTGCTCTCTCTTGGTGTGCTGCACTTGTGAGCGAACTGCATGGGAAAGTGCACTGGAGCACGCGTGTATATCATGATGGGCTCCATCTCAGGGCACACACCCATGCAACTGTGACAAGATCGATAGAAAGATCCTCACTGGGGTTAGAAACTCTCCCACCTCGACTTGAGTTTCCCAAGGCAAAATGCAAAGACACAGCTACACGTGAGCCGACAGGCACTATGAATTCTCAAAGGTTTGAAAAAGTATGTTCTATATTAACTTTATTTTAGTATGTTTCTTGTTTTATTATTTTAATCTGTTTTGTGCTATTATGGCAGAGTACCTGAGATTGGACAATTTATCAAGAATAGAAAATTTTGTGAGTTCCTTATATATTCCAGATATTAGTCCTTCATCTGGGGAACAGCTGTTGAAATGTTTTCCCGTTTTGCGGGAGTCTCTTCACTCTGTTGGTTGCTTCCCTTGCTATGCAGAACTTTTAATTTTACATGATCCCATTTGTTGGTTCCTGACATTACTTCCTGTGCAGCGGGGGTTCATTTAGAAAGTCCTCACTTATATCTACGACTTCAGGAGTTTTACCTACTTTATTACATATACTAATAAAAACTAAAATAGGATATAAAAAATAGAAATGTACTCCCTCACAGCTTTAGAGGCTGGGAAGGCCAAGGTCAGAGTGCTGCAGTCTGGTGCGGGTCTGCTGCATCCAACGAGGGCAGGGAGGCAGAGGGAGAGGGGAGGGAGGGAAAGAGAGAGGGGAGGAGCCAGTGCCTCATGTGAAGCCCCTCCCAGCAGCAGCATTAACTCCCTGCGAGGATGAAGCCCCTCTCACCTAATCACCTCGGAAGCCCTTGCTCTTAGCACTGCTGCGCTGAGGGCTGTTTTTGACATGGCGACTGAATTTCCTGCGAGGCATTTAAACCGCAGCCTTCCTCGCAGTCCCCAGGATTGGTCTTCTCACATCCATTTTGTCTAAATAATCCCCCCAAATTGTAACTTGTTCCAGCATATGTGGAGGGTCCCGTGTAAATCAGATACGCGTGAGACTGAGGGCATAGGTTACCCTGAGGCAAGTCCCCTCTAGCCATGCACCCGTGAGCTCACAGCAAGCTCCCATGTGCTTCCAAAATAGCATGGTGCAGGAGTTGTAGGAAGGATATTCCTACACCCAGAGGGAGAAATAGGCAAGAACAAAGGAATAACACGTTCTAAGTAAATCCAAAACCCAACAGGAAGACAAGGACACCAGACTGATCTTACACTCTACGTACTGCCCCTAGACACACTCAGGCCTCTGACCCCCAAGTCCAGGCAGCCCTGTCCTTGTGAGAGCCACCCCGACTGGCGTTGTACCCTGGCAGCTCTACACTTCTGGAGTCTTGGGTGGCCCTACTTCCAAAACTCTACTGCTTTTCTAGGGGGAACTCTTTGCGGCATCTGATCCTGGGACGTTATTATTATCTATCATTTTGCTTGACTTTTGTTATAGTTTGGAACTTGAATGTCCTCCAAATGCCTTTGTGTCCACGGCTTGGTCCCCAGCCTGGGTGTTAATGGGGGGTGTGGAAGTTCAGGAGGTGGGGCCTGGAGGGAGAAAGGAAGTTTACTGGGATGTGCCCACCAAGGGGATATCAGGCCCGCCCCTTCCTGTTTTTCTCTGCTTAGGGGCTGCCGTGAGCTAAGCAGATTCTTTTTCCAAGTGCTCCTGCTTGATGGGCTGCTTCATCCCGGCCCAACACCCAATGGGGCCCAGTGGCCATTGGTTGAAACCTCTGTAATCATGAAACACATAAGCCATTCCTCTTTATAAGCTGATTATCTCAGCTATCTTGTCACAGCAATGGAAAACTGACTGGCACAATGATTCTTTTACATTCTCTTCAGTTTAAGCCTTTCTGCATACAATATTTAAGCTGTGCCTCTTTTACAGACAGATTCAAGTAGGTACTTTTAAATCTACTATTATAATCTTATTATTTTAATTGGAGCACTTAGTCCATATACAGTATAATTGCTGATGTATTTGATGTTCAGTGTTGTAACCTATTTGACCTATCTGTTCTGATAGTTCTAATATTTTTCTATTCTTTAACTTTACATTGATTAATATATAATGCATATATGGTGTATAAGAATTTGTGTATTTTTTACATATTTTGAGCATCCTATTTTTATCTCTTTTGGCTGGCAACTTATTTTTCATAATTTGAATGGATTACCCTAGAAATTTTTATACATTTTATGGACATTTAAAGCTAAGATAATTTAATAATTTGACTATATCCAGACAATCCAACTGCTTTAAAGTCTTTAACTCCCTAAATCTTTTTATTCTGTTCATTATATTTGCTTTAAATTTTGTTATCAAAAGTTCAAACACATATAAAATAATAATAACAGAAGCAATATAAAGAACCCAGCACGCTCACTGCCAAACTCCAAGAGTTTTCAGTTATGCTGCCTTGTGTTCCTACCCACCACTGCCCTCAAATTGCTGCGGAGGAAAGCCAAGCTATGCCATGATTCACCTGTAGACATTTCACTACGTATACTTAAAAGGTAAGGATGCTTTTAACCATGAGCTATATCGTGAGTCATGACAGCCCTTCTGACTCAAGCTCAGGTTTGGGAGTTTACGTTGTCACAACATGTACATGAGTCTCCTACATCATTACATTTGTGTCATTGTTCTCGTTGCTGTGGGCTTCATGTTGCTTTCTGATCCCAAGTTCGACGGCTTCAGGAGTCTGGGGAAGTGTTGGCTCTCGTACCTGAGGCAGTTTCTGCCCACTCTGATCTCTTCGAGAGTTTTCTCCACCATGCTCATATACTTCTGATTTTCTTTCTGCAATCTTCATACTTTCTTTTTCCATGTTTCAGCCTGATTATTTTCTTCAGACCTCTCCTTCAGTTCAGTAATTTATTCTCCAGCTATATTTAATTTGCCCCTAAACTTAACTCTTGTATTCTTGGCTTTAGTTATTTTAAAAAATTTGGTTTCATTGATGAAATACTGAAATTTATAGAAGGAAAGAATTAAGAAATTTAGGAATGGAAAATTTTTAAATAACTAAAATTAGGAATAGGTATCTTACAGCTTTTTAACTAGATTAGTATTAGTTATAAATTCAATGTCTGGTAATCCCAGACAACGTATTTCTCATGCAATCTTTGCCTTGTCTATTGTTCCCCATCTCCAAGTTCAGTTCTTTAATTTTTGCATTCCTAGTATCTTATGAATTGAAGAAGAGTGTACTCTCAGAACTATAGTCAGTTTGATGCTGCCAACAGTGCTACCACCCCCTAAAGAAGGGCTACTCTGCCTGAGAGACAGAAAGATAGTCTGACCACAGGCAGGGGAATTGTGTGTTCTCCTTAGGGCTTGGTCAGCCTTTGAGGGGCAGATCTATTTCTGCTTCACTCTGAAAACTTTCTTCTTCCTTTTCCTTTTTCAGTATTAGGGGTTGAAACCAGAGTGTGACCAATGCTGGCCAGTACCGGCCACTGCTCTGCACCCCAGCCTATTTAAGTTGTCTTCCTCATAGGTGGCTCCCCAGCAGGCCTGCCAGAAAGTCCAGGTCTTTGCAATGCTGCTGTGCTCAAGACAGCAAACTTTCCCTCTCCATGCCACTCAGCCCTCCAGCCTCCCACTCCAGCTTGTGTGCTGGGAGAGTAACGGGGTCATGTGGTGCAGCTACCCCTGGCTCCTCGAGTCCCAGCTATGCAGTAGCTAGTGATGGCTTCCAACAGAGTTTACGTTTTGTCCAGATTTTCTAATTTTCTAGGTCATTTATCAGTTATAAGAGAGACAGTTCACAGTGTTTGGAAACACTATGTAACATAGTTTCATGTAATTCAGATTGGTTTATTTTTGGCCATAGCATGACAAAATATAAATATGCACATTTTACTGTTTGTCACTGTAACTGGTTTCCATGTTCTTTTGTGGGCACAACTTCTTTGCTTAAAAAAGATTGATATTTGTTTTTGGAAGATAAGGAGTCTCAGATGTCATTGTTTTGATGAGAAAAAAAAAAAATGAAGCGCACGCCAGACAGAAACATGTAAAACTCACTAGTATAAGATGAAAGGCATTTAGAGGTGAGAGAAAATAGAAGGTCCAGAAAACTTGGAAAAACTTTGGCAAGAATATAGCATAGGGCAGGGGCTCAAACGAAATTTAAATACATCTCAAAGAACATGGTGCCTCAGCTGAGAGTGGAGTAACTTCCAGAGATAAGAATTCTCACTTCTCTTTCCAGGGGGTCTGAGATCCCAGTGAAATGTGTGTGGAGGACATTTAGTCCATATATGAGAGTTTAAATTTTAAACTCTCAGGACTCCATTTTAGACTTCCAATAGTGCTTTCCTCTTTGAGAATAATTTTTCCTCTGAAATGCCTCTGACTCCTTGAGTTTTCCAGAACATATCAAGACATAAAAACAATCTGTGGAGAACATTCAGGAGAAATCAAGTCCTGGTTTATTAGACTGTGGGTTGGAATAGATACACAACTTTTATCTTCAATAATAGATGCTGAAATTTCAATTAGTCACTTTGTTTTTGTTTTTTGGTATTGGGGATCGAATTCGGGTCCTTGTGCTTGCAAGGCAGGCGGTAGAACCACTGAGTGAAATCCCCAGCCTAGCCACTTACTATTTGTGACAAATCTATATTCCAATTTGATATTGCCACCTCTACATTCTTAGAATCTAAAGGGACACGTGGTGCCATAGAGTGCGAGTCATAATCCGACAGTTCACAGAAAGAAAAGGAAAGGACCTGCTCCAGCCTCAGGCAGGGCTTGCACCACGGCCTGGGCCATGCCCTGCTCGCTCCGCCCCCCTCCTGCTGGGCCCCTGTCTGCAGCACAGGCAGAAGGTGCGGCTCCCATCCCCTGACCCTCCTGGGTGACTCAGGCTGCTCTTACTTTCTTTATAGTTTTCAATGGTGGCTTTGCTTTTCCCAGCTCACACAGCCCAGCCCAACTAGAGGCCTGCTAGAGTAGGTTAGAGAGAAAGGATTTCCGATTTTCTCCAGTGGATAACTAAGTTCCCTTATAAATCAATGTCCTGCTTCTCAGGTTGCGGCTCGCGATTAAATCCCCAAGAACTGGAGCAGCTGAGAGGATGGCCCAGGCTGAAACGCCCCACGCAGCCCCTGGGAGAGGGGTCCACCGTCATCCTTGCAACACTTGCGGCTGTCTTGTTTGGGGTCATTTTCTATACAGTCGGTCACAGTTAAATGAAGACGATGGCCGTTTGCGCCCAGCCCCAGGACTGTGCGTGCTGCACACTGGCTCCGCCTCTGGAACCGCCCGCCCTTGGTGTGTTCTTTTCCCAGCACCCTTCAGAACGCAGGCGCTAACCGTCGGCCGGTCCTGTGGGGCTCCCTCTCACGGTCTGCTTCTCCCTGGCCACGCTTTCCTTCCCCTCCCCGTCCCCATGTCCGTGCCCAGGCCTCTCCTGCCTCTCCCTCCCCAAGCGTGTGGGGAGCACCCAGTGCTGGGTGCCAGCTCGTTTCCTCCAGCAGCGCTGCTGCACCTCGTTCGCGGGATGGAGGCAGCCGGAAACTTTCATTTCATTATTGAAGGTAGGCCGTTTTGGTCCATTTTCTAGGGTGCATTTCTCAAGTTCCTAATGGGGGATGGTACGGTTGTGTCACTCTACCCAAGTGGGGCGGAAAGATGCCGTTGTGCACAGGGAGAGTAAAACCACACAGAAACCTTTGTGACACCAATAACGGCGTTTCCAAGTCTGAGGTGTAAAGAGGTTTTCATAATGGACATCCAAGTGCGTTCAATTTGCTGTTGGGAAGATCGAAATGCAGGTTTCATACCCTAACAGAAATTACTCCCGAATTTGCCGAGGCCTCGGGGTCACCCCACTGGTGGAATAACGGAAAGCGACACCAGGAGGGCCCGGCACGCGCCTGCGCAGTCGCTTACCTGTGGCGTGGAGCTGAGCCACGAAGAAGGTCGCCCTGGACTTCCTCTTCCTCCTCCGCGTGGAGAGCAGCACGGCAGAGTTCCCGACAGCGGTGAAAGCGAAGAGCACGCACAGGGTCATCCGCTGCTCGGTCTGTGAGACGCAGAGCAACATAAAGCCGTGGAACTTTGCAGGACGCATGCGCAGGCGAAGGTGGTGGGACGCGTTTCCCTCGGCCCCTATCCCCACCCCTGGAGGCCTGGTTGTCTAAGGAAATGACGAAGAGGTCCTCACTGACAAGCGCAGCAGGGTGAACTGACACACCCGTTAGAAATCTGCTGAGAAATATATGTCGCGAAGAAACAACAAGAAGTTTTATTCTTTAGTCAAATAATTGTAACTCTGTGTGAGAGTTCAGAGTGTTAAAGAGAACACGACAATCACAGAGGTGCACACACTTAAAAGAAATTGGAGACTGTTAAAGATAACAACCAGTTAAGTATATCAAGCACTTCAATTCAGTGAACTCTTGGGTAGCTATTAACAGCGACAGCCATAAAACCATGTAACAACATTAAAAATACTTATAATAAAATGTAAGAGGAAAACATGCTAATATTGAGTAAAATTATACACATAGGAGAAAGACTGAAGTATACTAAATTTTAAGGTTATTTTAGGGTACTGTGATTATGGGTTATCCTTTCTCTTTTTTCCTTTGGCAGAATTTCATAAGATGGTAATAGAGTTCTGCTCAATAGTGTGTTATAATTAGTAAAAAAGGAAACAGAGAAAAGGGATTCCACTCATTTCAAATGTCAAGTCCTTCATGAAAGTTTTCAAATAACGCTTGAAATGGAGCTTTTTATCCTTCCTTATGCATGGCCCAGAATAAATGAAGGGCTCTGAACCAGGGCAGACTCGGGTAGGGAGGAGACTGTGAGCCAGAGGGAACCGTGCTGAGATCCACAGCCACGAGGCCCAACCGAGACACCACGCGGAAGAGGGCAGGGTCCGTCCAAGAGAGCACAGGTCTGAGATCAGCGCCCATGTTCTCTTGCGTAGGGGAGAAGAGGAACCTGAGGAGACTAACCCCACAACAGTGACATTCCGTGTCAGTCTGACCTGGCCACGGTGCCGGCTGCTTGGTCAGACACCCGTCTGAGACGTTGCGGGGAAGGTGTGTGTGGGTGTCACTGACACCTGGCAGCTGACTTCGGGTTACGCTCCATGCAGCCGGGCCTCCCCCTTCAGTTGGCCCACAGTGGGGCTGCACCCTCGCACACACCCTAAGACAGAGCTGTCCCGTCCTAGGAGTTTGAGTCAGCTAACTGGATGTCATCGCTTCGCCCTGCTAGCTTTCGGTGTGCTCCACACTCGGATCAGGTCTTCTGACACAGAGCCTATTCTGTGGTGAGGTGACAAGTATCTGTGACAGTTAGCTAGACTATCGGCTTGCCTGATCGAGAGGGGCCTGCATTAATAAAGCGCACTTCTGTGTGTCTGGTCCCTGGTTCCACTGTCCCCGGCCCCTCCTCTCTGGCCCTTCCTTGCTGTCTGCTTCCCGTGTGCCAAGAGGTGAGCAGCTTCCTTCTGTCAGGCCTTGCTGCTGCGATGTCTCTGCCTTGGGACCAGCTGGCCATGGACTGAAACCATGCACGAAATGAATCTCACCTCCTTTAAGCCACAGGTGCCGGGCGCTTGGTCCCAGCAACAGGAAAGCTGACAAATACGCTATCTCGGCAATCTGCTGAAATTCACGACAATGCAGTGCGCTGTGGAACATCGACGCTTACGCTCACGATGGGCCAACTGACAGCGAGCTGGGGTTGTTGAAGTGCCCAGCGTTACCAGGGTCACACTGGCCCTGCTAGCCAGGAAAAGATCAAATTCAAAACACAGTCTCTACTGAAAGCACACTTCTGCACCATGATACGATTAAAAGTTATGTGTTGAACCATTGTGAATCTGGAGGTTGTCTGCCTGCCTGTCTGTGTATATCTATCTAATCCTATTGATTCTGACTCTCTGCAACAATCCATAGCAGCACTTTTCCCTCTCTTTTATATTAAACTAACTTTATACAATGATAGGTCAAATTCTTCTTCAAGAAACAAAGATAAAGATAAAGCCAGATCCTCTTTGGCTACCTCCTTCTAGCTTGTTCAATCCCCATTTTCAGAAGGTAAATATCATTTTGATTGCAGTCTGTATCCTTCCAAACATTTCAAATACACTTCATAAACTCACAGACACACAGAGCAAGTGGAAAGTGTTATTTTGTGTGTCTGTTAGTTTTTTCATACTACACATACAACTGTCTTAGTTGAAGAAATGGCTAAATGAAAGCGATATTTTCATATAATGGAATAAATATGTGAGTCAGAAGAAGTGAATGAAATGTGGTAAAAGATATGTTGAAGGAGAGGGGCTTGGCCAGGGGAAGGAAGGGGCTGGTAGGTGACCTCATCAGCTCAGACCCCAGCTCCTGACTCCCCAAACATAGCAGCAGTGGCTTTCTTGGCAGGAACCTTGAGCTCCACCAGGGCCCCACCGAAGGGTCAGTCCCTCAGATACCGCCCGGCCTCTGCCCTTGCCACAGGTCCAGGCTGAGCTAGCACCTCCATGGTTCCCTCACTCATCAAGCCCGTGTTTAGGTTCTCTGTCCTGCACTTGCAGACGGCCGAGGATCCCAAGGAGGCCACAGCCCCAGAGCTGCAGACCTGAGGCTGCTGGGAGGGTGGTGGCTATACAGCCAGGTGTGGCGGTGTTGAGAGCAGGGAGGACCATGCGGCTGGAGACCAATGTTGCTTTGGAGGATAGAGGTGGCTGGCGTCCCATCCAGTGTGTCGTGTCACCCCCATCGGAAGGGCAGCCTCTCTGCTCAGCGCCATCTGGAGCTCTGCTCTCCGTGGGTGGATGGCTGTGCAGGCCAAGGCTGGTGGGCGGGGCAGGCCCTGGATGTTATGTTTCGTGCAAATCGGGGACATGGACAAGTACCTGAGGAACAATCTTTAGAAAGCTGTAGTGTATCCAGGAGGAGGAGAATCCCAGCAGTGTGGAAGCACCCACAGGAGAAAGGTCCGGCCTCGGGTGCACGTCACAGGTGTTACGTACTTTGACAGCCTCTCTCACCTTGGTTTTCTCGTTTTAAAAGTGAAGATAAATTAAACTGATCTCAGCATAGTTGTGGCTGTAGAAACGTCTAGCTCAGTGCTGGAGGCCCTCTCCTTCCTCCTGCGCCTTGCACGTCGTGGACAGGTGGGAGGGAGGACAACCCACCACCAGGTCAGTGCTCCAGCTCCCCTGTTCATCCTGTCCTCAGTACTGGTCTACTGATGCTTCACCCGAGCCTGCCAACAACTCTCCTGTGACCCTCACCCCTTCTAGGGGTGAGTCCCCAGCACCCCATTGAGTGCAGAGTACAAGTGGGGACTAAACGCCCCTAGTGGTCCTGTGAAGCAAAGTTCCAGCCAGATGCTTATGTAGTGGGTAGAACATAGTTGAATATAAAAGTTTTCAGTGACTGAAGAAAACTGGAGTGGTCTCAGCCAGTTCCACGGCTGCTGACCCATGGCCAACTGGCTTTCAGCCTCAGGTCGTTTAGTCAGACAGTGACGTTGGAACTGTAAGCAGGGACTAAGAGTGTGCATTGCAGGGTCACTGTCCTGAGGCTGAGACCAGGGACCTGGCTCTCTGGGCCATGCAGCCAGAGTCATGAGCATGCCCTGCAGGAGGCACTAGTCTGGGCCACCTCTCCAAGCTGGGCACCTGTCTGTCTCACAGAACACACTTAAATATCTGCTGGTGGATCATGGTCAGTGACAGGTACAAAGAAGACTGGGTCATCAGAGTCGGGCTTAGTTCAGGAAAGACCTAGGCTAGCAGCTCCAGTTGAGTACAGGAGCACTAGGCTTCTGGAGTGGAAGATCCAAGGTTTGATGATCCTCTCGCAGGAGGCCCCAGAAACTGGAAGAAATGGAAAGTAATTATCTGAATCCTAGAATCCAGCACCTTGCTTCCTTAATTTGCAGTTGTAGTGAGTGGTGATATATGGTCATGTGCCAGCCTTTTGGAGAGCTTTCCGCGCTGCTCCCCTGCCATCACAGCCTGACCCAGGAAGTGTTGCTCAGTCTTACAGGAGAGGAGACGATGCTCAGCGCGGTCCTGACCTGGGCTTCTTGGCTTTAGCTCGTGCATCTTGAGACTGAACACAGATTTCTTGACTGAAAGTTTCATGCCGTACTCATGGTAGTGGATTTCTGCTCACATTTCGGGTCAGAGAGAGAGCGAAGTCATCCCATTTACTTCATATTCAATTTTTAAATAGGAAATAAATCTTTATTTCCCTTCAGATGCAAAAGTTCTCTGAAGCTGGCTCTCTGAGGCTGGACTGGATTCATAGCTATACCCTCCAGGACGGAGCGTGAGGTCAGTGCTGGAGATTCTGGACACTGGGGCAGTGCATGGCGTCCACACCATGGTAATCAGAGCTGTTGCCGAGAATGCAGCTGCGTCATCCCTCCTGGGGCTCAGCTGTCTGTGAACCTCACATTCTCTTGGTTTGTTTCATGAATGGTGTTATTTGTGTGATGAAGACGAAGATGTCAGACATAGGAGGATCAAGTATCTGTTACTATCAAAGACAGAAAATGAAGACTTAGAAAGGAAGTTCGAAGCCTGGGTTCTCAGTGAGCAGATGAAGCAGCTTAACTGTCCCATTACTGTGATTTGTGTGTCTCCTGCTGTTCATGTCATCCCAGCTGTAAGAGCCCAGCCAAAGCCACATCCATATACTTGGATGGATTGAGATTATCAAAAGGAAAATTCTGAGCTCCCTAGCTCTGTTAAGTCACAGTGTACACAGAATGCACACCCTCTGGGCAGCATTTCCAGTGGGACAAACAGAAATGCACGACACAGCTTTGGATTCCTGGAGATGCTTAGTGAGACCTGGAGAGCAAGGCCTGTCCCAAGGGTCTGGGGCTGCCTGAGTTTCCTGAGTCCCACAGTCCACTTATCCCACAACCACTGGGAACTCAAGACAAACCAGAGCACAGAGACACAGGCCTGGAGAGCTTTCCAGGAGGAAGGTCACACAGCTTTTGTAAACGTACATTTGGATTACTTTGTCAGTGTAGAACAATCATGTT